AAAAAAAAAAAAAAAACAGTATATAGTCGTGACTTCATGTGACTCTGTATAATGTAGCAGGCAAAGGAGGTATTTGAATTTCTCATCTTTTATAGAGATGTTGTAATTTATCGTTCTCGGGAAACCCTAAGCCTCACATCCCACTTTCCTTTGACAGCACTTGCTCCATACATGACAAGCAGTCTTTTGGACAAGCTTCTATCTGAATTTTGTGCCTAAAACACTATTCAACACACATGTGCGCACACGAAAATGGGACAGTCCCACTTCCCTCGTTCTCTCCTATCTTCTCTCCCCCTCTCCCTCTCTCTTTAGGATTTTTAGATATTTCATTCAAATCCTTAGTAGCTCTCTTCAGTGTCAAAAGTCATACAGCTATTGCAGTGCTAAAAATATATATCCTTATGACTTAGATAAGTTATATATTTTTAAACTGAACAAGTGGGCCACAAAGCTAAAATTACCCAGGGAAATTACCATAATACTCACCCAGTAAGTAATCAGTGAACGAATGGCTAAATGTCCTGTCACCCACTCCTGAGCTAGCCACAGACAGCCTCACTCTACCACAGAGATTTGACCATGGAGAATGCTGCCTTTGGATGGGCAGGTCAAGTTCATGGTGTTTGGGTGCACAACATCCACTCACCTGCATGCCTTCTTGACCTGAGATCCCAATCCCAACGTCTGCCACTTGTATCATGCTAACATCATTGGCACCATCACCTTTGTGAAACAGAAGAGAAGGTGAGAAACATATGAGGAGCAAAGAAAAACTGCCAACTGTGCAAATCAACAGTGGCCACTCAAACAAACAAACAAATCCTTCAAAGCTTATCCCATGTCTCCAAGTTGCCTGGAAGCTAGCTAGGCAGAAATGCAATGTGGCATCCCACTGCCATAAGGAAGAATTCTATACTCAACCCTACCTTAAAGTCCTTCATGCTACAGCCCCTACCTGGACTGACCTCCCCTTTCTCTATGTCACTCACTCTACTTTCAATTTTCCAGATATACCCTACTCCTTCCAGCCCTGCACATGCCGTTTCTCTATTCTTATAACAATGTCCTCATCATCCCTGCCCCACCTTGCTGGACTTCAAGGGCTCTTGCGCTCAGCTTAGATAATCACTTCCTCTGGGAAGTCCTTCTCAGGTTCCTTTTAGATCCGATGCCCCTTCCTGAGGCTCCAAGCACCACCCTACGAATTTCTATCATATATAGCATGGTATTAAGCTTGCTATAGATTTGTCTTCCCAACACACTGGAAGCTTCTTTAGAGGAGGTATTACATTCCTGCTGACAGCTGTTGTTCCCAACTGCCCAGTAACCTTAACTTGTTTTCTGGTCATAGTATATCCTGATTTTCCTTGGGAACTCTGAATCCATGAGTCTCTGAGCCCAAACCACCAGATTTGGGATGGGCAACTGACTCAGGCCTGGACAATTACCATTGCCCGTTCCCTGGCCTCAGTGGTTGGTTCAGAGATGGGCACATGATTCAGCTGAATTGATAGAATTGACATGTCCAGGGCTCTAGCCTCAGGAACAGATGGATCCAGGGGCTTGAACAATTCACTCATTTATATGCTCATTCAATAATATAGTTGAACAAAATTTCACCCTAATCCTGATACTTTATTCCAGCAACTTGAGAAGAGGTGCTATCTTTTCTCTCAGGTTGCTAATAGGATAAGAGATATAAAGGTGGGAATTTTCAGTAGCTGTACCAACAACCTGAGGGGAGATGCTACCTGAGACTGAAAATAATCCAGGTGGAAACAGAGACTATAAGAGATGGCTGAGTTCATGTTGCTAATGTCTGAACTTTGGAGTGTCTCAGAGCTTAATCTCACCCTGTTTCTCTTCTCCACTTACACTCATTTTTTTGGTAATCTCATTGATAATACTATCGGGGCTTTAAATATCACCACTAGACTTACAATTCCCAGATTTATGTCTCTAGCCAATTCCTCATTGCTAAATTCCAGACTTTATCTCCAGCTGCCTACTTGACATCACTGTTTTAGACATCTAATGGATCTCTCAAACTTAACATGTATAAAACCCAACTCCTGCTTTCCCGACTCCATCTCAGTAAATGGCAGCTCCATCCCTCTGTTCTCCAGAGACAAAGCCTTGATGTCCCCCTTGACCCCTTCTATTATATAACATATCCAATCCATCAGCAGACATCAGCAGCTCTTTCTTCAAACCATGTCCATTATCTTACCAAATCCCACTACCTCCTCCGCTCCTACCTGCGCTCGAGCCACAATCATCTTTTCCCTGAATTATTTCAATAGCCGCTCAACTGGTCTCCTTCCTTATGTCCTTACAACCCAGTGGCTCCTCTCAACACAGCAGCCAATGTGATCCTTTTCAACTTAAGGCAGCTCACGTCCCTCCTCTGCTCAAAGTCCTCCTGTGGCTCCCTGTCTCTTCAGATAAAAGCCAAAGTTCCTAATGGCCTCCAAGACTCTACAGGACCTGGTCGCCTGCCACCTCTCTGTCCTTCACTAACCTGCAGAAAATTCCTCCCTTTGCTCAACCTACTTTGGGTTTGAACACACCAAGCATGGCCCACTGTCTTCTCTGCCAGGAATGTTTTCCCCCCACCCAGATCTCCTATGGCTCCCTTATCATTTCCTTCAAGTCTCTGCTTACACACAACTTTATCAGTAAGACTGTCTCTGAAAAATCTATTTAAAATAGAAGTCCCTTCCGCCTTCCCCAATGCTCTGCATCACCTGACTTTGCTTTATTTTTTTCAATAGCATTTGTCACTATCTGATATCTTATATCTGTATACCTTTTTTTTTTTCACTTTTTATTGCATTACCCTCCTCCTGTACGTAAGCTCCTTAAGCAAAGGTACTTTGTCAGTTTTGTACACTCTTGTATCTCCATTGCCTAGAAAAATGCCTGGTACACAGAAGGCACTCAATAAATAGCGGTTGAATGAATAAATAAATGAACTGTTTATATTCTTGAATTTAACTTTCTCGAAGGCAGAACTCGTGAATTTTTCAGGTCTCCGATTCAGTACATTACCCTCCTTAACCCAGATGATTTGGGGATCTGACATGTACCACAGAGTCCTATTAAATTGTTTTCCATGTCACATCTCTACCACCTGGTTCATAAGAGGAGGCCAAATAGGTGATGGAGGGGAAAGGGGAGGGAGTGAGGGGACGGAGGAGAAAGAAGGGAGGAAAGGGGAGGGAAAGTGGGGGAGGAAAAGGACAGACGGAGAGAAGGGCAAACGTGTACGGAAGAAAGGACAGACAGAAGGATCAGCCTCTGGTGTGACATGAAAGTGAGAAGCGCAGGTCTGGGTTCCACTTCCGCTCACCGATGGCCAAAGTCATCACCCGGAGATGGCTTCGAACCAGTTTTACCACTTCGCTCTTCTGCAGGGGCGTGGCTCGGCAGCAGACCACGGCGTGGCAGCGAGCAGCCAGCTCCAGGAACTGCCTTTGCAGACTCTCCTGCAGGGCAAACTCCAGGGTCCTCCCGTTGATAATGAGTCCAGCTCGCAGCCCTGAGTCCGGGGGCGCGGGAGGCTGGTGTAAAGCCTCACTTGATGCTTGCTCTGGAGAAGCTGGATTTTTCTTCTTAAGTTCTTTCAAGATCGTGTCCATCAGCATCTCACAGGCACTCTTGAAACGAGAGGCAAAGACAGTCAGCCTCGGGGCTCCCCTGCTGGTCACATCCAGCTGTATTTATCATTGCTATTCTTTAACATTTGCTTCATCAAGTCAACCCCAGGGAGTGAATCGTCGGTTACTTTCCAAGATCTCACAGCTCTTCCACAGAGACTTGTGTGTGTATATGGGGACAGGATAAAAGGATGGGGTGCATCTCACTTCCAACTGTACAACTAAGAAATCGTTTTAGAATTTCTTTCTTTATTTGTGCAATTTACCTTCTCAAGCCATGAATCTCAAGAGCCCTTCGGTCTCATTCTCTCATTTACTACCTGCTTGACTTTAAGCAAATTAATATAACCTCTGAGCCTCAACTTTCTCGTGAGAAAAATTCAAACGTCTACATTATAATTCGTTGTGAGGAATAAGTGAAATAATATTGGGTTAGCCAAAAAGATCGTTCGGGTTTTCCATACGATGTCTTGGAAAAACCCAAACGAACTTTTGAGCCAACCCAATACATGCACAGCCTCCTAGTGTAAAGCATGACACAGCAGAATTTAAAACAGTTATAATTATTATTATTTTTTTTTTTTGCGGTACGCAGGCCTCTCTCTGTTGTGGCCTCTCCCGTTGCGGAGCACAGGCTCCTGACGTGCAGGCTCAGCGGCCATGGCTCATGGGCCCAGCTACTCCGTGGCATGTGGGATCTTCCCAGACAGGGGCACGAACCCATGTCCCCTGCATCGGCAGGCGGACTCTCAACCACTGCACCACCAGGGAAGCCCTATTTTTCTCTTCTTTGATTCAACACATTCACTCACTTACTATTTATTGAGAAGCTACTGTGTATTTGAAAAAATTCTAGGTGCTGGGGATACATCAATGAACCAGAAATCCCCACCCTCACCGAGTTAACATTCTGGTCGATGTTCTTAGTGGCCTTAACCCATTTGGTGTGCATACATCCCTCCACTCTCCTCATCCCACGCTTGTTAGGAAGCTCTTTGAAGAGAGACAGCACTTTTAATTTACTTTTGAAATCTTCCTAATGCCTAAAAGAGGGCCACGTTAAGTACCCAATAAATATTCATTAGATGAATTCTACTCAAGAACATGAACAATAAACTTATACAGAAATTATTGTGTCAAATGACCACTAAGGACAGAGCCAAACAAAATCCTGGAACGGTGCATTTAAGTTTATACACTAAGCCTGAAATAGTTTATTCACGGAAGAGCCCCTCACACTCAGAGGCCATTTACTCTTATTTCAAATGCTATTTTATCAAGCATTTCTCAACCCAAAGCAAAATAAGATGGGAAGTAGGTATGAATATGTAGGCACACAGACACAACAAATACTTAACAACCACATAAACTATAAACAAGAGATTCAACTTCAAAATGGAGCTACCTGGCAACCTTTACCATGAGAATAAATCTGATCCCATACACCTCAAAAGCCCCCATGGAAAAGTATACTAAGACGAATCAAAGATGCTCAGCATAGGCTCAGTATAGAATAGTAAAAAAATATTTTTGAAAACCTTCCAAACTTTGGTTAAATTAAAATGGTATATTTAGAAGGTAACATACCCTGCAGTCACTGAAAATCAAGACCTCTATTAACATGACATGATGGTTAAGATATTTGTTAAGTGAAAAAATATAGCCATAATATTATACAACCGTATAAATACAGTCTGTATAGCATTCATATGCTCAATACTGCAGAGTGGAGTCTGACTGGATGCCCTTCAAGATATGAATGTCAATTATCTGGTTTTACGACTGTAAATTGATTCCAGATATTTTTATTCTCTTATTTGAGTACAAGTGTTTAGTTGTATTAATTAACTATATTTCCATTATAGAAAAAATACACATACACACATACAGTCAATCTTCATTATTTGCAGATTCCATATTTGCAAATTCACCTACTTGCTAAAATTTACCTGTAATCCTACGATAAAGGTGCTTTCTTGGTCATGTGTGGACATGCGCAGTGACCGAAGATTTGAGTCATGCAACACACACCTTTCCAGCTGAAGCTGAGCAAGGTGATGATGCTCTGACTTAGGTCAGCTCCCACACTGTAAACAAGTGCCCTTTTCACTCTGTCTGGTGCCACATTTTTTGCATTTTTGTGCTTTTTGATGGTGATTTCACTGTTTAAAATGGCCCTAACTATAGCCCTTTAATGCTGTCTAGGGTTCCTATGTACAGGAAGGCTGTGATGTGCCTTATGTAAAAAACGTGTGTTAGACAAACTTCGTTCAAGCCTGAGTTATATGCTGTTGGTCATGAGTTCAATGTTAATGAATCAACTATATGTGTATAAAATTATATATATATATATAAAATGTGTATAAAATTATGTATATTATATAATATATACAAAATTATATATGTAATATATATGATTATATACATAATATTTATGATTATTTATATATATATATATATATATATATATATATATATATAAATAAGGTATCTTTAAAAAGAAACATACATGAAACAAAGTTATATATTGATTGGTTGATGAAAGTGTTCTGACCAGAGGCTCACAGGAACCTAATCCTTTATTTCCCATAGGGGCAATGGTTCAGTTTTTACACTTCAGTATTTCAGCAACTTTATAGAACTTAACTCCATGAATAATGTATTTATACAGATAAATAGATATAGGTTATATAATATGTAACATAATATACCAAAAGCATGCTTGACAAGTAATCAGCTGTTGGTGCTTAGGCAATTCACAACCTTTTGGAGTCTCAGGCTATAAGATGGGGATAATTTTATCTGCTCTACTAGTTATAATGGTCAAATGAGATCATGTATGAAAAAGGTTTTTATAGATTCTAAGAAATATGAATATAAAGAGTCACTATCTTGGAAGAAAATTTTAAATGAAATGAAAATAAAACTTTAAAAATTCAATGATGAATCCTGAAAGGCAGTAAATAATCCAGGATATGAGTCTATTAAAACAAAAAAAAAATCGAAATTTATGAGAACAGAAATTATGTAAGGTTTGTAAGTGGCTACATTTACCATAACCTAATTTGCAAATTTAGGAACCAAAGTTGATGGAAACCTGTAAAGTTGAGGTACTACACTATAGATATGATTGGACAATCCATCGGTTGCCAGGTGGCCCACTTAAAAGGTCACAGGAGCAATGTCCTTCGCTAAATGACAAATTGGGCTCATGAACTTCAATTCCATTTTTAACTCTTAGCATATGAGGGATGGAGAGTGGGAAAAAGAGAAAATAATACAGTGACTGAGCCCCTACTATGTGCTTGGGATTTTATATGCATCGACTTGAGTCATTATAAAACTCAATTAAATTATGTTCACTCACTGTGTTCCGTTTAGTTATCTGAAAAATTGAGGTGAAATACCTACTGATAGCAAAAAAATCTTTTGTATTTAAAGCAGTCCACAGTGGATACTCTATAAAGACTTGAGTTGGTAGTTTTAAATACCTTTAACCATAAATTGTATATTTATAAATAAATTTCATAATACTAGTGATTTTACTGCTCACAAAAATGGCATAGTCAAAATTGAACACAAATGATTTATTACTTTTACTTTTAAAAGTTCATTGAACCCCTTTCATCTGCCAGGCACCACATTAAACAGTTTATATTTTCCCATTTAATGCCCACAACATCCCTATGAAATAGACATTACTCTCACATTACAGGTAAGAAAATGACTCAGGAGGGTAACTCGCCAAGGTCACATACCTGGTCACTGGCAAGCTAAGCATTTGAATCCAGGTCTTACCAGACTTAGGGCACTTCCATTTTAGTGACTAAAATGACCAAGTATTTTCTTGTGCTCACTCCCCAGCTGAAACTGGGATCTGGCTGGTGTCTATGCTTGTGGGTCCCTGGGCCACTGTCAACTGCCAAGGAGAACTCACTGTGTTGAATAAGGAAAATTCTCTTTCCTCAAAATGTACCATCTAGTTGGGTATTGACTGAGGCCTGACCATAAAAACATGGCTAACCAAATGTGGCAGCCTGTGACCAAGACCCAAGATGTGATCCAGGTGAGAAGCTCCAGAGGATTTCTGAGGCAGGTTGCTATGACAGAATGGATGTGACTGATAAAGTCTGACAACTGAGGAAGGAAGGTTTTCCAAGCAAATTAAACAGTACGCACAAATCTTAGTATCACTATACTAGGAATCTTCTGAAAAAAATAAAATGCCTGTTTAATTGATTAGAACATTTGTATTAGAGATTAGTGGCAGGGGTGCAGGGAAGAAGGGGTATGAGAAAAATAGGCTGAATCCAAATCTCTTAAATTCCTTCTCCTCAAAAAAAAGGAGAAAAAAAATCCCAAAACCCTTTTTTTCCTGCCCTTAAACAAGTTCTTCCAACTTTTGATATTCTCAGGTGCACTAGCTAAGATTAACCACTAGAGGGCAGGATTATCCTCTGAGCCTAATTTTAGAATTACCAGGAAAATACTTATTCACCTGACTCCAACTGAAATCATTACTTCTCCTCAGCTTGAAAGGGGGGTAGATTTCTGTCCCAGAGCTTGACATATTTTGTCATCATGGTGTAAATCTTGTCAAATCAGTGGTAATTCAATACGGAGGTGGGGGGAAAAACAAATAAAAAGGAAATTTTCTTTCAGGGTCTTTATTCAGCAATGATTCCTTTGAATCATTATATCTTCCAAGCCTTTAGAAGAACTAAACAAGCTAGGTTGCTGGATAGAAGCACTAGTTATCAAGGAGCTAATGGCTATTGGTTTTTCTTTCTCCTTATAGCCATCACATCACAAGTATTCCATTGGCTTTGAAAACACAAAAAGACTGGCTTGATCTCAGTAAACATACTTTACTTTCAGTATTGAGGATGAAAAGCTTGTCATCTGGCTCCAGTAGTTTGCATGCATAAGCAATATTGACAGCTGTCTCCTGTTTGTCTCCTGTCAGCATCCAAATCTTGATTCCGGCTTTGTGAAGGGCTTCTATGGACTCGGGGACCCCCTCCTGCAGACGGTCTTCAATGCCAGTAGCACCTAAAAAATAACCAAAATGCAACAGGGCTTGTAAGAAACAAAAGCCAGCTGAAGCTCATCTAAACTATAATTGAACCCTATCTGTTAGCCGACCCAATCCTGAACTACATAAAAGGTTCCAGTAGCTTCAAGGGGTCCAAATGAAGCGTGAAGACTCAGACCAAAATCACATACAAAGTAATATTTCGGGAAGAAAGCCTTTGCAATCAATGAGTTTATCAAATTTACTTGGTCCCCTTTTGGCTAGCTTGCTTCTCTGTAAATTGAGGGGGTTTCATTCAATTACTTATATATCCTTACTCTTCAATTTTATAATCCCATGATACTCCCGAGGGTAAGGGTAGGCTTTTAAAGACTGTTCTTGTCAGTAACACGTATTATCTATTTTTAATGCTCTTTCATATTATAAGTCCATAATTCCCTTTTCTGTAACAACTGACGCTAGCTTTGTTTCAGAATTCAGAAGTTTTGCAGATTTTTAAAAGGTAAGAGGATATATGTATATTTTATAATATCTGGTAATCAAGCATATTAGTATTTTTTAGCAAAACTTACAAGTTACAACATTCACATTAATTAGGATAATAAAGACTTTAAATTGTCTTATCAAATCAGGCCTGATTTTGCTGCTAAATGAGTTTTGGCACTAAACTCACAAAGCAGTTTTGAGTTTGGAACTGCAGATGAGGAAATGTGAATCTGTACCACTCACACTGTCACGGAGAAATGACTTAGGAGGAAGATCATTACTTTACTGGCTAGAGACCAAGTTAAATCATTGTTTTTCCCTGAAGCAGAGGAACAGAGCTCAGAGACCGGTGTTTTGGTGTGTTAGTACTCTAAGGCTGTGTTTCTCAACCTTGGCTGCCTCTTAGAACTACTTGGGGAGCTTTGAAAAATTCAAATGGCCACACCACACATCACACCAATTGAAACAGAATCCCTGGGCAGGCATCGGTATTTTTTAAAGTGCTCCAGGTGATTTTAAGATGCAGCTCTATCTGAGACAAGAGGTGTCAGATGTGCAACTTTTAGTTGAAACCAGGAAGTAAGAGAAGAGAGACAAATTTCATTAGCCCAGTTGCAGGCACAGAATAAAGAATATGGGCCCTGGAGTGAGGTAGATCTGAGCTTCTCCCCAGCTCTGCCAGTCACTAGCACGTGACTCTGAACAAGTCATTAAACTGCTCTCTGCTCCAAGTTTCTTGTAAATAAAATAGAGATTTGTTGTACAGATTCAAAAAGACAACACATATTAAATACCTTATCCAATGGCTGGCAAGAAACTTTAGCTTTCCTCTCTTGAACCAGGGTATTTAACTGGCTTTGTATTCTACGTTAAAGCATTGAATTTTTAAATGATCTTAAGGATGACCAGCCTGCCACAAATGAAGTCTAAGTTCACTGCAGTGGAAAATGGACTGGAAAGGATTGGAAGCAGGGTAGAAGTCAAACTGGACAGGGTGGGCAGAACCACATGTATCTATTAGATCAAAGTGAAAAAAAGCCACTGGTGAATAACTAATTTACAGTCAAGTGTTTTTGAAAATTCCCCCTTCAGACAATACCTACCAAGTAAAGTTAGTTTGTTTTCCAACCTCGTGGCAGATTCAAGTAGTAATTCTTCCCTGTTGTCAATGCTGGTTTCAGCTAAAAAATGATTTCTCAGCCACTCTGCATATTCAGTGTCACTCATGACCTATGAGGGGGAAAAAAAGCTATGAGGCAAGGCCATGTGATGAGCCTATGGTATTTCCTTCTCTGGGTTCACTCAGGCCAGGTCCAAATCCTCACACTACCCAGTCACAAACTTCCCAAGCTCTGTGATCAGACTATTGTAACACTGAGGATGGACAGACCCTGTAGCTCAGAATCTCTGGGAAATTCTAGGCAACATATAAGATGAAAGTAGGTTAATCTATTTAATTAAACCAGGGAGTGTGCAGTTGGGAGAAAGGAGCCACTTGAAAGTTAAATTCAGGGTTATTCTAATGGTGCAGTTGAAAAAGTGGTGTCCAGTACTCAATTTCAGGTATTATATAGCTAGCAGCACCTTTGATTTCTTTTGATGGTTGGTTTACAGGGTGAGTTATCTGTAAAGGTTAAAAGAAAGAGGAGGCCACATGGGTGAAGCAAGGAAGTTCTCTTCCAAACAAAAAGGGACCAATGATACATTTTCCTGTTGCTGTAATGGGAGAAATCTACTTTCAGTTCTTATAAAGCAGCACGCAGTAGAGGGGGTGAGGCAATTTCTCTATCTACTCATTCTTGCCCACAAGGTAATTTGATTTGGGAGAATCTGACATCTATTGGGCTACATTTTTATCAGGGCAGGATCATTCCACTGAAAAGGCAGAAGGTCTGTTTCGATCTTGAATTCTTCATTCTTCTTACAACTGTGTATGAGGCAGGCTTTTGATTCTCCATGCAGCTGGTTGACTAAATGCCTCAGAGTCTACACCAGATCCCACTTTCCCTAAGGCAGTTCCCAAGAACTAGAATTTGGGGAAGAAATGAGAGATGCCTACACCGGCCTCAGGTTCTAGCTATAGTCTCCAATTCAGTTCTCCCAGAAGCTCTATTGTTTGGGAACTACTGGACAGCCATTAAAGCACTGATACTTTGATCTACATGTAGCTCTCAATCTTCTCTACCAGCCAGAGCCCAGAATGAAGGAGAGAAAATTGATACTCTGGCTTCTGACACAGCAACAATTAACTGTGGAGCTCAGAGCCAGGGAGGGAAAAGACAACAGAACGGGTAGGAGGTAGTTATGCAGAAGAGGGAGAGAGTTGGCAAGAGTAACCTCCTTGGTTCTTTTCCAATATTTCCCCTATGTGGGCTGATCTGATGGTTCTCTGTTTCTTTTCCTTCAATGTTCATCATAGCCCTGTTATATCTTGACAACAGACTCCCTTCCCTCCCCCATAGGCACATCCTTCTCTTGCACTAGCCCTTACCAGGCTCTCCTTCTCCATCCTAAGTAGACTTCCGCACCTTCTGCCACTGCTCTACTCTGAAACAATGAGTTAGCTGAGTTTGTACTGAAGGAAGAAACACTATCTAGGTGTGCAGCTGGGGATGCAGTTGTGGCCATGGCTGTAGGGATGGGGCTGGGGACGTCTTGGCTTATCAATGAGGAGGGTAATATAAGGGTGTAAGGCCTTGCATATAGCCTCATTACGGCTGAGCAGCTTGACTTGGTCAATACCTAAGCCATACCCCATTGGCCAAGTGGCACAAAAAACTTGACCAATTCACTCTCAAAAGGCTTCGTATCTCTGTTTCTTCCATGCCCCCAGGGGTGGTTCTGGTAGTAACACCCCTCAAATCACTTCTTGGAGCTCTGTCTTCTTTCTTATTACTTAAATTTTTATCTAGAAAGGATACGTCCCAGGATTATTCTCAATAGAGAATGATAAAAACTGAGATAATATTTAGGAAATTTACCTGGATTTACAGATAAAGACTTATGAGCCCATCAGGAAAAAAATATCAAGAACTTATAAGCGGAAAATTAAGGCCAGTCTCCAGCCTCTTTCTTTTCAAAGCACATTTAATGCTGTAACATAGAGGAATGATATTTACAAGGTACTCAGAGAAAGAGAGTAGGATCCAGGGATTTTTATTCCCAGCCATACTGCAGTTTCCATACAAAAGCACTCAGATATATTGAAACATGGGAGAACTCAGACAATATAACTTTCAGACATCTTTCTGGCAAAATAGTTTGAGAACAAACTACAACCAATCAATATATAAGGAATAAAGAAGCGATATGAAAATAGAGCCCAGTGGCCCAAAAACTTTTCCTGATGCTTGGATCGGGGTTTGATATGCGCTCGTTTTCATTAAATGATAGTGGAGCTAGGAAGGAAGGAAGCCAGCCGACAGGCACACGGAGCAGCCTTACCCTCTTTGCTACACACAGAGTGCGCAGGCCTCGCTTGGTGTAGGCATCCAGGTGCTGCTGGGTTTTCTCCCTTAACATCGTTTGTTGTTTTTCCAGACCTGGTCCATCTAAAATAATTAACAAGACACACATGTTCCCACCAGTTTGCCCAATGACAGACATATTTTTTAAAACAATGGTAACTTAACCCACAACAAACAAAAGGCCTTGTAGTTCTGAATCCCAAATGTGCATTTATAAAAGGGACCCCTCAGAATAAATCTTTCCCTTGTCTCTCTTTCCCTGGGGAGAGAAAAGTACCAAGAACTTAATACAAACACCATTCCCACACCATCGATAATGACTGTCACAATCATTATAAGGATGCTGGCTGTCATTTATTGAGCATTTACCATTTTCTAGGCTCTGGTCAGAGGCACGGCAGATACTGCATATAGTATATCATTAAACCTCTCGGGAACCTATAAAGGAGGTACCATAATCCCCACCTATTGAAGGCAAAGGACAGTTAGGTAACTTTATCAAGACATAGCTACTGTCAGAATCAAGATTTGAACCCTGTCTGTGTAACCCCAAAACTTAGGTGCTTTCTCACCAGATCCTAGGCAGCTTCCCCTACACTTCACCAAGGGTGACGGATCCCTACAGATCTGCTTGTTTGCCTTTATAAATCCCTTGAGAGTGGCCCTTCAATCTCCAAGCCCTTCCTATCACTTCCCTCTCAGTCCTGTATGAACCCACCTGGGGAAGCCACTGAGAGCAACTCCATGATCACAGAATCAGCGCCCTTTGTATACACCACGACTTGGTTGGAAATGGGGTGCCGGACCACAACGGACATTCTTTTTCTTACTGAGTCGAAGGGCAGGATGTGTAGGAGTTGAAATGTTAATGGTCCCAAAGAAGCAAAGTCCACCATGACCTGCTCTGGGGTCCGGGACTGCAGAGTGCACTGGTAAGCCCGGGCGGCATATACTAAGGCCGCTTCATCCGGGCTCTCAGCCTCATAACACAGGCTGCAGGCCAAGGGCTGTCCAGGGAGGGAGTCCACCTTGCCGTTTGTGACATCCACATTGCTGTCTTGCTTCTCGGTTTCTATGGGACAAGCTGAGTTACCAGAGCCCTGGGGACTCTTGCTTGTCTGGGAGATCTCTTCCTCCACAGGTGAAGCTGGTTTCATTCGACTAAAGAGAGATAGTCTGCTCACAAAGGCATTTGGGACCCCAGAGGATGGCTCTTTCCCACTGGCAAGAGATGGTGAACTTGATCTTCGGACAGACAGTCTCTGGAAGAGGCTTTTAATCTCTTCCAAAGACTTAATGGGCATTGCATGCAGAGAAGACAGTCCAATCTAGGAAAGATAATACGGGAAGGTCTCAATAATACAGTCAAAGGCAGTTGATAACAACTGTGAGGTCAAACCGGGGGGGAAAAAAGGAGATATGAAGAGTTACCACTCCCTCACATAGCAGCCTGCTTCATACTTACAACTGCCGCAGGAAACGTTAATAAAAATAAAAATAGCCATGATGAAAAACATACACTAATGTTGATGGCATTGTGAATCTCAAAACCACTTAGGAAGAAAACTGATAGCAAAAGACATAAAATGCTATGTTGCTAGCAGTGGGCATATGTATAGCAAATTTCCCTAATGAAATCAACTATAAAAAATTAATAATCTTTATTATATACATCCTAGCAATAACAATTAAAAAATTACAAGCAAGTATTTAATAATAGCAAATTAGAAACATCTTAAAATGTTATATAACATTTAAATGTCAAGTTTATAAAGATTACAGGGCAATATTGAAAAAGCTAAAAAAATAGTATAAAAAAACAGTATAAAAACAAATGTATCATAACACACATTCAAAACACTGGAAGAAAGATTAACAAAATGTATTTCTTTTCTTTTATTTTCCAGGTTCTAAAAAAGGTTGTTAATATGACCTTTTAAGCAAAGTAGGCCAATAAACAAAGTAGCTCACAGAAGAATTATCAGCATCATAATCAAATTTCTATTTTTATAGAACTTTTTCTTGTTCATAGCCTGATTTCTTCTAGATCTTAACTCTTATCAGTGATTAAATTTAGAATTTAATAACTAATTGGGATGACCAATTAATTGAATGCTAAAATTTTCTCATTTAGAAATGCCCAAGGCATTAAAGAATTTTCTCCTAATAAGTATTAATTTTATGATAGTTTGAGGGACTCATGCTGGTCAACTTTCAAACTTACTGGCAACTCAAAATTGAAAAGTGAAACTCAACCACAGATGACGTTTCTGTACTCCACATGAATTCTGATTAACTCTTTATTCACTGCCTTTCTGTCACTACCTTAAAATATGAGGCTTAGGCTCTTATATGCCTACAGAGATTTTCTTTCAGGCTACAGAATATTATATTCTTTGGGGATAAGGCAACTATATTTCTTAAACAGAAAACACCAAAAGATGTCTATATTGGAAACAGAGGTATATGAAAAAGTGTTACATGGGGAGAAAAACAGAACATCCAGTGAGTTATCCTCTAACTATGTAAGTTTTCAAAGAGCAAATTTCTAGTTGAAATCTTATAAAAATACAGTTTCTGATCAAATGAAAGCTTAATGGGAAGTAAAATATTTTTATGTTAAAACTGACCACCTCTGAAGTTGCCAAGAGAAAATGATCTAACAGAAAGTTAAAATTTAACTGGGTTGTGCTGCAAATTGAATTTTAAATAGATGTATGCAAAAGGGGAGATAGTTATATTCAAGGAAGATAGCACAGCAAGCGGTAAATCACCAGTCTCTAAAACAAGTTTTTCTTTTTAATTGAAAATGAATTTTCCATGGATTCTAAGCTACAAAGAGACTTTAAAAATCCAGCTTGTGTGGGAACTGCAGAACCTTGGTATATTATAGATGTATTGGATTTTAGAGCGATTGAGTTTACATTACCCAACTGGTACATGAAAAGGGACATTATCATTAAACATGATAATGAATTTAATACTTTATATTTTGCTTGATGTGCATATGTTGGAGGTTTTAGAAGTTTCACAGAAGGCTTCAAATTTGGTAAGCAAACTAAAGCAAAATGAACAGAGTCACATTTTCCAAGAACTGTTCTCATCAGCTATCCTCCTAGAGGCAAAACAGTATAGAAGCTCTGAGCCACACTTCCTGGGTTCAATCCTATCTCTCCCACAAACTGGTCCTGTGACCCTGGGCAAGTTACTTAAGCTCACCTGTAAAGTGGGGAACAGTAGAGTAACAGCACCTAACTCATGGAGCTGTTGGGAGGATTAAACATATTAGTACCAGTAAATCACTTAGAACATCATAAGTTCAGAGTACAGATTAAGTAATGTATAAATATTACCTGCTACTATTGTTAATTACGATCCACATAATAAGACGACATAACAAGTACATTTAAACACAAAATTCTCTTCCGGAAGGTGACCCTTGTTTGCATTACAGACTTACCTTTTGCCGTGGTTGGTTAGGAGCAGAAACCACTACTGTGTTGCAAATTGCCAAAGCAATAAAGAAGTCGATGATGTACAAAGTCTCCAGTGGTGGATCTGGGATAGTCTCATCCAGTGGGGTAAAAAGCTGAGGTGTAATCTGACTAAACTTGTCCAAAAGCCTGGTGTCTGGTACCACATCTGTTTCCTGAAGATCCAAAAAGACAAAGTGTTGTTACAATAAGTACCTAAAAATACGAGTTTTAAATCTATGTGAGCTTTTCTAACCAGAATCTGTGAAGCATGAGATAGTAAACTTTATTCTTCTAAAAAAGATTTAATGGACGTGGTGTCATGGGAGGTGAGAATAGGGAAATAAAAGAGAAAAAAATTAAATGGAAAATTCAGAATGCATAATATGAATGGAGACTACCTTGACTATTAACTCAAAGTAAGCAAGAGAGGAACAATGCCTTTCACCAAAAACTAGCTGAGTGAGTTTTCTTATTTTGAAATACACAGGGCAGAGCTATATTTTATTGTGTCTAGGATTCTACTTTGGGCATATATTCATCCCACAGCAACTGATGAATATCGATTCTTTTAAAAGTGAGGGCGTTATTCATACTATGCTATTTTAACAAAATATTTTACAGCTCAAATCACTACTATTGTTAAAAACCAACCCTCCGAAATAAAATTACTATAAGCACGCTAACAGAGTTCATCAGTATTTCCTGGTAATATGCTACAAGACACTAATATCCAAGGGTCCCTCTAAGAGATTTCTGATCATCAAATATTTTTGACAACTGTGCCTTATGCCCCTCTCTTTGGTACAATTCCTTTTACAAATTGGCTTTAAGAAGTTTGCTTACTGGGGAAAAATACGTCATTCTGTTAAACACGGTACTTCTCATTCTTATTCAGCAGTACTAGTTTTAATGAAAGAACGTTGTACTAGAAATCTGCAGTATATAGTCAACTGCTTTAGAGATTTTTCAGATGAGTCAAAAAAAGGGCCATCTCCTCTGAATCAAGTTTTCACAAAAATGCCACTGTATTCTAGAGGAGTCCTGACTGCAGGAAAGCCAGGAGAGGTGATGGAGAGAACAGAGTAAAATATGGAGATGTGTGATATTAGATTCAGAGTGACCGTGGCTTGCATTTTATGCTTAGGAGTTTGGTGAGATTTAGCACAGCCTCAATAAGAAAAGAGCTCAGGCTGGGAATCACATGGGTTTGGGTTCAGGTCCTAGACCCACTGCATACCCTCTAGTGGCCTACGGCTGCTTACTTAACCCTCTGAGCTTCATTTTCCCTCTTCTGAATAATGGTAAAAAGTACACCTACCTCACAGGGTGGCTGTATAAAGTAAATGAGAGAATGAGTGACATGAGACCAGCACAAGAGACACCCAAATAATTTAATGTTCCTTTTCCTTCTCGAATGATACACTCAACTTCAGGCAGGTTACCAGGCTAACAATGGGTTTCAAAGGTCCCAGCTTTCTGCTGTCACAAGGCATTCTTAAATTTCTATCTAAAAATAGCATCTCTTGCTCCCTGATATTTGACTTAGCAAAATTTGAACCGTGTTGCAGTTTGATGGAGTTCGTAAGAAAAATTTGAACCCTGTTGCAGTTTGATGGAGTTCATAAGCACTTGTAATCCGATGGCCGTTCATTAACGAGTTGGCCACATTTCCTCCCGAGTCTCACACATAGTAACACTGAGCCAGTGCCTGTTCTGGGCCCTCAGTGACTCAGAGAACCATCCTTTCCTTGAGGACCCCCTTGCCAGCAGAAGAGAGTGGCAACATCTGAGACTTCATTCTCACTCGATACTCAGGAACCTTGTTGCATAGGATTAATGAAGGTCTACGATGATACTGTCATCTAATGAGTGTGACAGACGCCATGGGTTGGAGCAATATTTCCAGAGGCATCCTTCTCAGAATGTTTATGCGAATTAAGCAAAACCACAAGGACTTCCATACTGAAATAAATTTAAGAAATGTTTAAACAGTGCTTTATTGTAGCACTTCTCAGAGCGTTTAATGGGTACCAGGAATCTCCAAGAAGAGGCTAGTATGTGCAGGTCTCCCTAACTTTATTTTTCAGGGACGTTTGTTCTTTGGAACACGATTAGGATTGAGTTAGGGACCTTAGAAGCAAATAGTGATTTCATTGTGCCAATGATCTCCGCATTGACTAATAACTGGCTTCAAAACATAAGGACTCTACTGCATTTTGAAGTTACCCTAAGGCTCATGAAGATTTGTAACTTCCATCTTTGTGACAAAGACATAAGTCAATCTAATATGTCATTTGGGGAATTTAAGAACCTGTGCTGTGATCATGAGAATAAAAGAGATCCTGGGGCTGACCAAAGCTGGGGCTCTGGTCAGCAAAACTGTGTTTATAAAAAGTACTGTCAAAATAAATGTAAGAAACTCCGGACCATACAAGACCCTAGAAGCATCATAAAATAATATAAAGAAGAGCCCAGAAGACGATTTAAGGAAAGATACACGTCAAAATGAAACCGCAGGAACAGAATATTCTTCCACTTTAGCTGCTGTCTCTAAAATAAGTTAATCCCTAGTGACTAAGATATTTAGTTGCTGAATTGAGGAGAAAGTATAGTGTTATCACATGCAATTCTTATCCGCAAGATTGTATCACAGGTGTTTTTTGTTTTTTGGGATTTTTTGCGGTACGCTGGCCTCTGGCTGTTGCGGCCTCTTCCGTCGCGGAGCACAGGCTCCGCACGCGCAGGCTCAGAGGCAATGGCTCACGAGACCAGCCACTCCGCGGCATGTGGGACCCTCCCAGACGGGGGCACGAACCCGCGTCCCCTGCATCGGCAGGTGGACTCTCAACCACTGCGCCACCAGGGAAGCCCTATCACAGGTGTTTTTACCTAAGATCCAACTCTTCCTCATGGAGACCTTCTATTACAAAATTGACTTTTGCTTTTTTTTCTACGATGGACAGATGCTACCTTCTCTGAACTCTGATTACTCCAAGAACCAGGCCCAAACCATCCAGCTTTAAATGATTCCATGCATATGTACTCTCTCCACAGGGTGTGTAAGTTCCTCTAAAGGAAGGACCGTATCTTATAGATTTTTGTACATTTTTTTAAATTGAAGAATAGTTTATTTACAATGTTGCAGATGTACAGCAAAGTGATTCAGTTGTATCTATATCTATTCTTTTTCAAATTCTTTTCCATTATAGGTTAAAAGATATTGAATATAGTTCCCTGTACTATACAGTAAATCCTTGTTGCTTATATATTTTATGTATAGTAGTTTGTATCTGTTAATCCCATACTCCTAATTTAACCTTCCCCCCTTTCTTCTTCCATAACCATGTTTGTTTTCTGTCTGTGAGTCTATTTTTGTTTCGTAAATAAATTCATTTGTATCATTTTTTTAGATTCCACATATAAGTGATATCATGTGATATTTCTCTTTCTCTGATTTACTTCACTTAGTATGATAATCTCTACGTCCATCCACATAGCTGCAAATGGCATTATTTCATTCCTTTTTATGACTGAACATTTCTTGTAGATTTTTGGATCCCTAACTGAGTAACTGGTCCATGGATAAGCCATAAAATGTTATTGCTGTACATTACTATCAGACACTTGCTGGTTTTATATTCCATAAAGAAGGAGGTGGAAAAACAGATTGAAAAGATGTTACTCCTTAGAAAGCAAATACATAAACCCCTCCCACTTGACCTCAAACAGACATTTTTTTTTTTTTTAACATCTTTATTGGGGTATAACTGCTTTACAATGGTGTGTTACTTTCTGCTTTATAACAGAGTGAATCAGTTATACATATACATATGTTCCCATATCTCTTCCCTCTTTGTCTCCCTCCCTCCCACCCTCCCTATCCCACCCCTCCAGACAGCCACAAAGAACCGAGCCGGTTTCCCTGTGCCATGCAGCTGCTTCCCACTGGCTATCTACCTTAACGTTTGTTAGTATATATATGTCTATGTCTCTCTCTCACCCTATCACACCTCACCCTTCCCCCTCCCCATATCCTCAAGTCTGTTCTCCAGTAGGGCTGTGTCTTTATTCCTGTTTTACCCCTAGGTTCTTCATAACATTTTTTTTTTCTTAAATTCCATATATATGTGTTAGCATACGGTATTTGTCCTCTCTTTCTGACTTACTTCACTCTGTATGACAGACTCTAGATCTATCCACCTCATTACAAATAGCTCAATTTCGTTTCTTTTTATGGCTGAGTAATATTCCATTGTATATATGTGCCACATCTTCTTTATCCATTCATCCGACGACGGGCACTTAGGTTGTTTCCATCTCCGGGCTATTGTAAATAGAGCTGCAATGAACATTTTGGTACATGACTCTTTCTGAATTCTGGTTTCCTCAGGGTATATACCTAGTAGTGGGATTGCTGGGTCATATGGTAGTTCTATTTGTAGTTTTTTAAGGAACCTCCATACTGTTCTCCATAGTGGCTGAACCAATTCACATTCCCACCAGCAGTGCAAGAGTGTTCCCTTTTCTCCACACCCTCTCCAGCATTTATTGTTTCTAGATTTTTTGATGATGGCCATTCTGACTGGTGTGAGATGATATCTCATTGTAGTTTTGATTTGCATTTCTCTAATCATTAATGATGTTGAGCATTCTTTCATGTGTTTGTTGGCAGTCTGTACATCTTCCCTGGAGAAATGTCCACCTAGGTCTTCTGCCCATTTTTGGATTGGGTTGTTTATTTTTTTGTTATCAAGCGGCATGAGCTGCCTGTAAATTTTAGAGATTAATCCTTTGTCAGTTGACTCGTTTGCAAATATTTTCTCCCATTCTGAGGGTTGCCTTTTGGTCTTGTTTATGGTTTCCTTTGCTGTGCAAAAGCTTTGAAGTTTCATTAAGTCCCATTTGTTTATTTTTGTTTTTATCTCCATTACTCTAGGAGATGGGTCAAGAAGGATCTTGCTGTGATTTATGTCATAGAGTGTTCTGCCTATGTTTTCCTCTAAGAGTTTGATAGTTTCTGGCCTTACATTTAGGTCTTTAATCCATTTTGAGCTTATTTTTGTGTATGGTGTTAGGGAGTGATCTAATCTCATACTTTTACATGTACCTATCCAATTTTCCCAGCACCACTTATTGAAGAGGCTGTCCTTTCTCCACTGTATATTCCTGCCAC